TCCTCCACCCCTTTCCCACGGGTGTCCTCACCCCTGTCCCTGTCACAGGTGTCTTCACTTCCTTTTCCATGCGTGTCCTCATCCCCATCCCCATCCCAGACGTCCTTACCCCCAATCCCCAGATTGTCCTCACCCCCTGGGCATGGGAGGCCGAGCATCCCTGGTTTTCCAAACCTCCCTTCCACCCAGGATGGGTGCTGGAGGCCCCGTCTTGCGCGAGCACGAAGCCACTGCATCGTTGCCACATCCCTGTCCCATTCCTTCCACAGCCATTACGATCACGGAGCAGCCGGTCTCCGTCTCGGTCCCCGTGGGTCACTCCTTCGTCCTGCGATGCAGAGCCCAGGGGTGCACGTCACTGCAGTACCAGTGGTTTTGTCAGCACCAGGTAACAGGTGGGAGGTGAGCTGGCCCCAGGTGCGGAAGCAGGAGCAGGTTCCTGCCCGCAGGGGTGGAGCTGGTTATCTGCAGGCAGACCTGGTGGGGTCCAGGAGACTAGAAGGGGAGGGGGATAGGAAGCACGTGCATGTTGAGGGCTTCTGCAGGTGCTAGACTGGGGGGCATGCGATGGAAAAGCTCCTTTTCCTGCATCCCTGTGGCTGGAGAAAACCAGGGATTTCCACTTTTCCTGCTCTTAGAAAGGGCCTGCTGGTGCCTTCTCCTGACAGCGAGGAAAGGGGACTCACTGCCCACCACCTGCGTTTTCCCTTTAGTCTGAATGCCGCCAGATTCCTGGTGCCACCAAGCAAGACTTGCCTGTGACTGCGCAGCAGACCCAGCTCTACACCTGCAGGATCAATGACCTCTACAAAAACGTGGTCTTCTCTGACTGGGTGAAGGTGGAGGTTCATCAGTGTGTCGGCAGAGGTATGAGAGCAACTGTGTAGCTTTTCTGTGCGTTACATTTTGCCTGCCTTCGCAACGGTGATCCAAGTGCAGTTCCTGGGGCGTTGTGTTCTCCCTGCTCAAAAATCACAATTGGTCTCTCGGCGCAGGTGGCAAAAGCTAGCTTTTTTCTGGTGATATGCACAGGGTCTTATATGGGAAGGGGGAAAAAAACAACCTTTTTTTCTGGAGGGAGGACCAATTCCATGTCATTGCTTCACAGGACTCCCCTCTCAGCTCTGGCGAGGAGAACCAGTCATCGTCCTCAACCCCACGGAGCAGAGGGTGGAGGTGGGGAAGCCGTTACAGCTGCAGTGTGCTGCCATGGGGGTCCCAGCCCCCAGCTACCAGTGGTACCAGAATGGAAACCTGCTGGAACACCAGAAGAGAAAAAAACTCTGGGTAACATTGTCATGGGATAATTGAGAAACTTTGGCTGCTGGGGTGGGTGACGGGAGAAGCTCGTTGCTGCATGGTGAGTGCAGGAGAAGCCTTGGAGAGACGGAAAGTCGTGTTACTGTTTTTCTGGACATGACGAGTGGCAGGCATTGAGCCTGGCTCATATCTGTCAGGGCTCAGGGATGCCTTGATCAGTGTGATCAGGTAAATTCCTGCAGAAAGCAGTCTTTCTACTTGCCTGTCCTCCCTATCTCTCCAGCCTGGGAGAAGTGGCCTCCCACTCGGCTGTCTCTCCGTGCCACGTTGCAGGGTTGTGAGAAAGTGCTCCACATCTCACCCCTGTTGCTTTGAGAGCTGACTGAAGGACTCCACGTGAAGAGGGAGGACGTTTTATGGACCTCTTTGAAAGCTGTGGATCCTTCTCTTAAGAAGTAACTGATTCATAGGTGCATCAAGGGCCCTCAGCACATCTCTTGTGCCTTTTTGCAGCGGTGGCGGTGCAGGAGCAGCCGTTGTATGTCTGCAGGGGAGCTAGAAGAAAAAGCAGTTAGTCCCAACAGAAAAGAATGAGGGAGGTGGTGGAAGGTCTGAGTTTATTTCAGGTTGCTTTCTTCTTGAAGCGAGAAAGGCAGTTTTCCTTCTGGGGCATTCCGTGAAGGGTAACAAAGACAAGATCCAATCCCTTCTTGGTAGCGGTGGGCAATGTTATAGAGGACGGCGGCCTCAGGCTGCACTTCTCGCAGGGAAATTCAGACTAGGGATTAGGAAGAGGTCCTTTTGGAGGTGGGCAGTGCTGCACTGGATCCAGAGAGTCAGAGTCCATTCTTGGAACTTTTCAGTATTTGACTAGACAAAGCCATGGCCAACCTGACCCAGTGGTGGCTTTAGTTCTTTCTGAGCAGGAGCCTGGGCTGGAGAACCACTGAGGTCCTTTCCAGCCAGTACTGCTCTGGTTCTTGTCCCATGTCAGGAGACAGATAGCTCCGGGTTGAAGACATGCCCAAACAGAGCAAATAGACACAATCAGAAATCTAGGAAATGTGACCTAAGAGGAAAAACAGACAACCTTCTGGTGTTGGCCTCATAGTGTGGCTGTGACACAGGGTTTCAGGGCTGCTGGGAAAAGAAGGGAAGGCATTTCAGCAGAGGGTTCTTGTGCTTGAAAAGCTGGAGTCAACAGCAGACCTTGGCCTCGCTCTGCTACTTAGGAAGACAAAAGTCATGGGAGATCTGAGCTTTGCAAGGCAAGGAATGAGGTCATGGTGAATGGCAAGAAAAAAAGCCTTCTTATTCCAGGAACGCAGATGGGTTTGGCAGGTACCAGCAGGGGCCCCACACGCTTTTGCCGTAAATAACACGATTTGACTTTCGATCTGTCTAGATCACCCATGCAAAGGTCAGTGACTCCGGCACATACCTCTGCTGTGCCTCCAATAGCCAAGGAGAGCACTGGACCAACGCCGTGGATGTTTACGTAGGTGAGCAGAGCCAACCCCGCGTCCGCTTTGCTTTGAAATTGCCTCCTGGCGTGAAAAGCGATTAGAGGGCAGGAAGGGACCCCAAACTCGGGCACAGGATGCCACTGAGTGGGTCTGGAAATCTGCCGTATCAGGACAGGTTGAATAGCACAGGAATAGCATGGTGGGTTCGCTTTGCTGACTCTTTGCTCCATCTAGAGATTTTTCCGTGCCATAAGCTTCTCATTTTGCCTCTCTGGCTTTAAAATCACTCTGGCGTACAAACTGATCCTGTAAAGCCCTCTCCCTGCCTTCTTGCAGCTGGCAAAATGGCATTCGAGAGGGGACGGGCAGTGAGAAGGAGGTGCACCAGCTTGGGCCGGGTTCAGAATGTTCCGTCTGGGTAACTTTAAGATGCAATGGGCAGCTCTATCAGATGCAGAAAAGGATGAGTGGGCTTATCCTGATGGTTTTCCGGGCATCCCTGGTGTGTTAGCAGTGCTAAAGGTCTTCCAGACCTGTGAGATTTATGCAATTAAAATTGTGCCCTTAATTTCTTCTTTTAGAACCTGTGAGGTTTTTGAATTTTCTTCTGGGCTGGATTTTTTTTGTTTCCTTTTTAATTTCAGTAGAGCTCTTAGGGTAGCGACGCTGTGAGCTCTCAGGCAGGGGAGCCTACGGAGCTCACAATCATGAGTCAAGTTTGAGATGGCCTTTTTGAACTGGAACTGCTAAAAGGCCGTGTTTGATCCCACTTTCCTGTTGCTGGGGGATGTTGGAGCAGGTTTCAGACCCGCAATGGAAGCCGGTGTTGGGTGCTGGACACAGGCTTATCATCTTCCTTTTTCTTTTCCAGGTACATGTTGCTCTGGAAAGTTTTTTGGTGAGTACTGTTGTCTTTTCTACCTGAGCAATTAATTCCCTTAATTAAAAGCCAGGCTTCAGGGTGGATTAGGGGAGAGGAGTGCTTTTTCTGCAGAGACCCCTTCAAGCTTTTATGCCAGTGTTGCCACAGACTGCGCTTTCGGGAGCAGAGCTGCAAGGCATAGGATGAGTCCCACGGCTCAGCAAACAGAGTAAAATTATTCCTAATCCCGTCTTGACCTCTGTGCCCACCAAATGAGTTCAAAAGCATCATTCGTGTGACACCTTTTCTCTTCCTGGAAGTATTGCTTGCTCCCACCACCGCTAAGTGCAATAAATCTGCTTTTCCTACAGTGAGAGTGTAGGAAAATTATTTCCTTTCATAAAAAAATCTTATTTCATTTCATTGGCCAGTGCCAAATGAGCTTGATAGCACAGATCCCTGTGTGTCCTCACTACACTAGAAGGAGGTTAGACCTCATCTCCTGCCAAGCTTTTATAGCTTTGTCACTTGGGTTTTTTTTTATTTTTTTTTATTTTTTTTTTAGCTACAGGCAAGATAGCGCTTTTAGTGGGCAACAACCACTACCAGCATCACCCCAACCTCATGGCTCCCATCAAGGATGTGTTTGAGCTGAGTCGACTTCTGGAGCAGCTGGGTTTCCAGGTTGTCTCCCTTCTGGATCTGAACAAGGCCGAGATGGTGACAGCGGTCAGTCGGTTCCTGCAGCTTCTCAGGAAGGGAGTCTATGGTAAGGCAAAATCGGCCGAGCTGCCTGGCAGCACCAGAGAGGAGCAGTGATTTGGCCATTCTCTGTGAATTAAATGGGAAGAAATTGAACTTGCTGTTGGCGCAGTGCAGCGAGGGAGACCTGCAGCACAGTCTGTGGTGGCACCAGGCTTGCCAAAAGCCCTTCAGTAAAACACCGTTCACCTTTGGCCAGGTTATGGGCAGGCAAAATATTTCTTCCGTCATACAGCTCTCATCCAGCCTCAGCAGTGTAGCCTAATGCTGAGGCTGGCTTCTGATGGTGAGTAGGAGCTCCTTCTGCAGCTGGCACCACGATTTCCTTGTTTCTCTTTCCTGACAGTCTTAATTTGGATCTTGGGCAGCCTTTTTGCAGAAGAGCATTCCCAGCTGCAGATAGCTTTGAGCTTACTGTGCACTGTCCTCAGCCAGAAGCATTCTTCAGACACAAAACTGACTGGCAGATCTTGTGGGTCTTGAGGCAGGTGCTCAGATTTTGTGGTGAAAGAAGCTTCTTTGGTGTTTCTGAGGATCTTCCAACCTGACAGACACCCTGAAAACACCTTGCTGATGTCTTTTGTTGCCTTCCAAACTTCGGCATGAGGCTTATCTTTCCCAGCTGGGCGCTCAGGTGGCTGAAGTCAGCATGGGCCGATTCTAGCCCAGCGTGAGGTTTGCAGGTTGCGCAATGGATGGGGACGCGGCAACGCATGAAACGCTGTGAAGCCGCCTCATTCTGGGAAGCGCTGACTCATTCAGAGAGGCTGAGCTGGCGGGAAAGGGCAGTTCCACGGTTGTTGGCACTCCGGCCGTCATCCAGTGACGGCGTATCCCTGTGACTTTCTTTGTAGGTTCCTTTTGTGGTTGATTTTTGATGCGTTTCCTAGCTCTTTCTTCAGACGTTCCCCTTACACAAAATTAAAAGAACCAGGTGAAGTACAGATCATGGAAACTGTTAAAAGATGGTCAGCCCTTGCATGTGCAATTACTGACCTGTCTGCTATTTAATTCACAGAATCGCAGAATGTCAGGGGTTGGAAGGGACCTCGAAATATCATCTAGTCCAAACCCCCTGCCAGAGCAGGATCACCTACAGTAGGTCACACAGGAACGCATCCAGGCAGGTTTTGAATGTCTCCACAGGAGGAGACTCCACAGCCTCCCTGGGCAGCCTGTGCCAGGGCTCTGTCACCCTCACAGTGAGAAAGTTTTTTCTAATGTTTTTGTGGAACCTCCTATGTTCCAGCTTGCACCCCTTGCCCCTTGTCCTGTCATTGGACATCACTGAGAAGAGCCTGGCTCCATCCTGACACCCTTTACACATTTATAAACATTAATGAGGTCACCCCTCAGTCTCCTCCAAACTAAGGAGACCCAGCTCCTTCAGCCTCTCCTCATACAGGAGATGTTCCACTCCCTTCTTCATCTTTGTGGCTCTGCGCTGGACTCTTTCAAGGGGTTCCCTGTCCTTCTTGAACTGAGGGGCCCAGAACTGGACACAATATTCCAGATGTGGCCTCAGCAGGGCAGAGTAGAGGGGGAGAAGAACCTCTCTCGACCTACTAGCCACACCCCTTCTAATCCACCCCAGGATGCCATTGGCCTGCTTGGCCATGAGGGCACAGTGCTGGCTCATGGTCATCCTGCTGCCCACCAGGACCCCAGGTCCCTCTCCGCTGTGCTGCTCTCCAACAGAAGGCATGGTGGGAAGAGACCAGAGTCATCAACACAAGGTCAGGGTTGGTTGTAGCTCTCCTTATCAGGTCTTGAAGACTTCCAGGCACAGAGCCTCCCACTTATCACCCGCCCCTCACAGGCTGTGCCACTTTCTTCCTATGGGTTGGGCTTTGTTTTCTCCCTTCTCTCCAGGAACTGTAGGCTGTTTTTAGACCTTCCTCCACATCTCCAGACCATCCCAAAACAGCTCCTTCCCCCTCTCCTCCCAGGCCTTGAACATCTTGGTAGCTTCCACTGGCTTTCTTCACCTTCCTTTTGAACTGAGGAACTGAGGTCCCTAAAACTGGGACTCTTGTCCCTTTTATGGTTGAACCTCCTCTGAGATTTCTCAAGCCCAAAGCAAAAAAAGGGCTTCGTTTTCAGGCACAGGAATATCGTCTAGCTGCACCTCCGGAGGCTTCTCTAATTCACCACGTGGAGGTGGTTGGTCATCCGGCTGCTTTTCCTTCAGATCACTTCTCTAAGAAGCCACAAAGGATTTTTGAAGGCCCCAAATATCCCCTTAAAAATCCCACTTGATCTAATTATGCAAGCCTCAGGCAAACGAGGAATCCCCCAGGATGTTATTTTGAATGCTCTAAAAAGTCCCAAGTCAAAAAAAAAATCAAGTAAAAAAAAAAATCATGTCAAAAATGCAACAAGAGCAGAAAGTTGCAAGTGAAATACTAGGAATGTGCCGTCAGGCTTTAATTAAGGTGCCTGCTGACATATCCTGGGTTATAAGCAATGCCTGGAGCTTCCCCTTTTTAATTTGGTACGCAGAACCTTGTCTGTGATCAGCAGTTTTGACTCACAGGGTGTGTGGAGAACATTGAATAAATGTTCAGTAGTTTTGACTCAGGAAGCACATTAAAATGTTAGCTCGGACTAAAAAAAACCCTTTCCCTCTCGAGGAAAATTGTTGGCTTTCCTGTTCAGGAGGAGAGATTTAAGTCCAGGAGAGGGTTGCAAAGGTGCTCAGTTGATGTGAAGCTCTTGGTTTTTTTGATTTGAATGTGAGTCTTCATGAGTTATGTAGCATGGGGAGCGCTTGGCAGTGCCTTCAGGGTGCACAAGAGGACCTCAGGTGTTAGAATATTTAATGATGGAATCAGTCTTTGTGAGCTTTTCTGTAATATATCAGTTTTTTTCCAAGTGTCAGTGATGCTGCTTGGTGATAGATCTCATCATCTCCCTCTCATGTCCAGGAGGAGAAGCAGAGGGATGAAAGCCATTAGTGCTCAATGCCTTGAGGGACCAAACTCAAAGCACTGGATTTTTTCCAGAAAGCTTCCCATTTTGTGCTCTTTTATAGTGTCAGGGGAGGCTTTGGTTTGCAGGTTATGAAAGCTTAAAAACTTCTGCAAATCAGAGCCCACCCTCCGTAGCTGGCCAGCCATGGGAAGAGGAACCCAAACCTTGTGGGCGCCTCTGAAAATGGTAACTTTCCATCATCCCCTGAGAATAGAAAGCAAAGGTGACTCGAGGTGACTTTTTTTTTTTTCACTGTGAGACCGTACTTTCAGTCCTTCAGCTCCTGCCCCATTCACTGCATCCATTTGAGCATCAGAGGCTCAAACAAGCATCCCGCCAGGCGCAGGTAAAATGGAGTGAAAACAGTGGGAAGGTTACTTGATGAAATGTGGGCTTTGGCAACGAATCCAATGGAAAAATTTCTACTTTTTTCCTCTCAAACTCTTGTTCCCATTTCTGACCTTAGCCATCCCTCAGTTGCGGTAGCGCAGTCATTGGCATCACCCCGCGGAGCTATTTTTAACCCATTTCAGTTCCTCGAGTTGGCTTTTTCTGTCAAACCCCAAGCAGTTGCTTCCCATCACCTAATCTGTTGCTAATCTCTCCTCCAAAACTAGGAAGGTGAGGAGCTTCTCCTTTAAATGTATTTTTCGTCATGGTAAAATACTTTGTCTGTTATCATATCCTTGCAAAGAGCCGATAATTAACTGAAACTTTGCACGCAGGTGGTATTCAGCCCGGCAGGTGCAGAGCCTGGGTGTTGTAGCACAGATGGCGATGTAAAACTGGTAACTTTGGGGTCTTCTGATAAACGGTGCTGGAAACTACAAGCACAGGAAGAGCCTTTTGGGGTTGCTTCCAGCCTGCTGAAGGGAACGGACTGGAAAAAAGTTGAAATTGTGAAGTCAGCATAGCTCCAGTTTCATAGGTGCTGCCAGTCTAGCTCTCTCCGGCACCAGTAATCCCTTCAGGACAGGAGGTGAGACATGGCCGTGGGTTACAGACGTGCCAGTTTGCAGCGTGACTTATCCTCTCTTTTCCCTGTTCCCAGCTATATTCTACTACGCTGGGCATGGTTACGAACATTTGGGGAGGAACTACATGGTTCCTGTGGATGCTCCGCAACCCTACGCTCCAGAGAACTGCGTCAGTGTCCAGAGGATCCTCCAGAAGATGCAGCAGCAGCAGACGGCCCTGAACCTCATCCTGCTGGACACCTGCAGGAAATGGTAGGGTGCTCTTCACTCTTCCGCACTTGGAGTGGGCAGAACATGGAGTTTTGAGGGTCTGGGAGCTGAGAAGATCTCTATTCTGCAGCTTGTGGGCTGCAGAAAATTATGCCTTTCCCATTTTCAGTAGCGGTAGGTAGGCTGTTCTAGTAGGAGCTGTTGTTACTTCATTTATTTCGGTCTCCTGAGTCAGATTTTCAGGTCAGAAAAGATCTGGAGGGCAAATGCAGAAACATCTCCCTGTTCCTTCTTTGGGTCATGCCCTAAAAACCAGAAAGACTTGTGGGGGTTTTGATACCGCTGCCCTGAAAGAGCTGCCAGCCCCTGGGAAGATGTTACATCCCTGATGCCTTTTTAGCAGCTTTTGAGCTGATATCTCCTTTCTTGTCATTGCTTGGTAGAGTCCTAACGGCGTTTTAGGAAAAGGATGCAGCTACGTTTCCGCATGTAGCTTCAGCAGAGAAGGAGCCAGGAGCGTGGAGCTGTGTCCATTTCTGTGCTGATTTGAGGTGGACATGATGACCTCTTCCAGTAATTCCCTGGTTTAGGATTTCTGGCATGTGCCACTGAGGACCGAAGGAGGACACATTCTCCTCTCTGGGCTGCAGATCAGAAACAAGTTGCAGGAGACGTGCTGCATAACTGAGACTTTTTTGGGGGATCTGGAGTGGGAGGGAGCACTGCCAACCTGCTCTGCTGTCAGGCCTCTCTCCCTGTGTTCAGTCACGGTCTGGAAATGCCCCTGCTGAAACTTGTCTTCTGCTGGGGCAGGAGATCACAGCCAGCATTTCTGCTGCAGGCCTGCCATGCTGGATGCCTGCTGGTGCCATCAAAAAAAGTTTGCATCAGCTCGTATCTGTGTGGCTTTGGGTAGATGTCCCCAATGTGGGGACAACAAGATCTCGGCTTATTTTGGAACCCCACGTCTTGTTTCTCCCAGATTTCTGTGTTCGTTTAAGAGCAGCGGAGGAGCAGATTAATCTGTCTACTCAGCGTTTGGATTTAGAAGTGTGTTTCCTTTTCTGCATTTCCCCTTCTGATCATCTTTAAAAAACTTACCCAAAGTCAGATGAATCCTGCAATTAAACATCTCCAGACTGTGCCCCCCGCAGTAGGTGACATGCTGGCTGCTGGCGACGTGACCATCCCTTCTGCTCTCCTTAGCATGCTAGCTTCAGCCCCAGGAAACTGCGCTGGAGCTGAACAACATGGAACGATGCTGCCTCTGTGTCTGGCTTTTATCCCCGTGCAGCTGGGAAGAGCTCCAAGTCACTGGTGTAAACTGGAAGCAGCTGGTGCCCATGCTGTTCAGTCGGGCTGCAGTCAGATGGGCGAGGCTTAGCTAGTAAGTGCAGCCGTGATGTCTTTTTTGGTGGGAAGCCAGGACTGTCGCCTGATTTTTGGAAATAACAAAGCCTGTGCTCACTGAGCTGCATCTAGTGCCAGGACTGGTCTGGGGCTTCGAGACCTGGCCGAATGTCCTGATCCCATCTTTTGGTGAGATCTGGAGGTGGCCTTGACACTGATTCGTGGCTTCATTTCCTGTTTCAGGTACAACCCGGACTGTGCTCTCTCCCAAGTGCAGCCACTGGAGCCCTGGGGCAACACTGTTTATGGCTACGCCACGTAAGTGCTGTCCCCACACCGAGGTGCAGGACCAAACGCTGGCACAGACATCTCCTCACGTCTTTTCATGCATGGTGGCTTTGGAGCCTTGAGAGGGCTTCTCTTGTGTTTCTTCTGGCTCTCACCCTCCCTCTCTAGTGTTTGCTGTTCAGGCACTTCTTTCCTTTCTCACGACATCACTAGTGGCAGCCTGTGTTGTGCATGAAGGTGGTATCAGCTCCTGTCACCTATCCTTCCCTAAGTTGCGTGTGCTATGAGCAGGTCACCTGAAGCCTCCCGAGTTGATGATGCTCTTGCCCACCTAGGCCAGCAAGAGGCTGTGCTCCCTCTTCCATACCCCTCCATTGCTTTTCCCATCCTGCATCCTTCCCACCCTCTCCTGGGCCAAAACCAAGCACTTTGTTTGTTGAGGACCTAACTGGGATGCGGCCAACAGAGTCTGGGTGGAGTCAGCAAGCACTGACTCACCCCTGGGGCTTCGTGCCTGTCACAGGAAAGTGAGGATGAGTCCTTACTCTTGCAGGAGCGAAGATGCAGAAGCCTATGAGTTGCAGGATGGGGAGTTCAGTTCTGGGATCTTCATGAAATACCTCAAGAAACATATTCTGCAAGAGAAGAAGGTTACACACATGCTGGATGACGTGTTAGAAGGTAAGGGATGAGCTGGAAACCACTCGCTTCAGTAACAGGCATGAGAAGAGAAAGCAGTGGGGACCAAGTGGTTCTACATCACCCCATTCCAGACAACCCCCCAGCCATCCCTCCCACAAAACCAAACCACAGGCCACATCCCATGGGAGCTTTTAGTAACCTGGCAGCAGTACGGAGGTGCTCATGTAAGGTCTGAAAGGAGGGGAGATAGATAAGGAGCCTTGGAGTGACTCCAAACTCTCTCCCCCAGACATTGGCCGGGATCCCTTGGTCACTGGGAAGCAGGTGATGGAGATCAAACACACTTTGAAGGAAGCCCGGTCCCTGACAGACCCAATCTGTCCCTCGGGAGCAGCCGCCGAGTGCTGGGGACGTGGCCACGGTGAGACCTGGGGGGTGCAGGGAGGGCTGGGATGGGGAGGTGTCATGGGGACCCTCCGAGAAGCTGACCCCTCAGCTTTCCCTCCCAAGAGCCACTGAGCAGAATGGTGACCTTCCCCTGCGGGGCACGAGTGGAGCTCCGCTTCCACCGGCTCTTCTCCAACGCCATGTATGTGTGCGCCAAGCTGCAGCCCCTGCCGGCCCACGTCGCCGACGCCCACCTCCTGCTCTGCCGACCCACCGTGAGTCTGGTCTCCTTCCCCCAAATTCTTCCCCTCCACATTTTTGAGTCGTGCCTTCTTAGCCCACCGTGCTGATACATCTTAATGCAACAATATATTTCTTCCCCATTGAGCCTTGCACCCTTTCTCACACCTTTCCTAACCGACCACTTGCGCAGCGCGGTCTCTTCTGGTGGCCTCTGTTGCCACCCCTAAGGATTTAATTTGCTGCTCCTTTTGCTAACCTTCTTCCTCATTTTTCTGTAGTCCTTTTGCTGAAGTGTAGCGTGGCCATGGTGGATTTTTTTCAGCCCCTTGTTCCTCGTGGAGGGACACTGCTCTCTAAGCACACGTGTGTCCAGCAGGAGGTTTGGAGCCCGATCCTGCCCGTTACCGAACCGGAGCATCGTTTTCCCTCGTGAGCTCCCTAACCACGCGTGAAAATCTCGTGTGTGCGTGTGCCTGCATGTGTTTGTGTGCATCCACTCCGCGTCAGCAAGCGGACCCAGCTGCTTGCTCTCGAGTACTGAACTGTCTCGAGAGGGATTGGGGAGACCAAAAAAGGGACTTAAAAGTTACTTTAAACCAAAGAGCCTGGGCTTGCCAGAGATTATTATAATGGGATTTTCTAGCATTGATCTATTTTCTTTAGTTGTCCAGTGGTAGTGTTCTTTCCCATCCTGAGTCGTGCATTTTCGTGTGACAAGCGCTGTTTTCAGAGAGACTGCTCTGCATCATGCGAACAAGGGAATGATGTTGAGACCAAAAACATTCCCTTTTTTTTTTTTTGCTCTGTACTGCTTAGAAAAACTTTTATATTGTTTTCAAGTCACTCGATCTGGAGCTGTTTGACCTAATGACTTTTCCACTCAGACTTTCCACAGTTTATTTACAGTATCTGAAAGTCTGGGCCAGTCAAAACTGCTGCTTTGCCAATTCCTGGGCATCACCTTCATTTAAAAAATGCCTTCCACCATGGGGAAGCATTTATAAATAACTATGGATTGGCTAAAAAAATTAATTTGGGAAACACTTTTCTCTGTTTCCTGACTCCTAGACAGCCAGAAATGATAAAGGAGTGCACTGTAATTAGGTTGTGGGAGTCATCTGAAGCATCTCAGTGATGAGGAAAGGCAGGGAGAGCTGAGACTGTTCATGCCTGAGAAGAAAGGACTCGAGGAGGATCTCATCCACATACAGAAATACCTGCGGGGAGGGCATGGAGATGATGGAGCTCTGCTTTTCTCAGTGGAGCCCAGTGCTGGGACCAACTGAAATGAAGGAAAATCTATTTAAAACTGAGAGAAAGCTTTCCTACTCCGAGGGCGATTCAATATGGTGTTTGTTTTGGAAAACCAGAGTCACGGGGTTGTTTTTAATTCTCTCTAATGACCTTGCGGATTTAAGGAATAGGATGGTTTATTAAAGCAACTGATACAGAGATAATTTAGATCACTGGTGAGAAGGACTGTCTGCAAAGAACGTGAATAATACAGCCGGGCTACAGACATTTTAAGCTATAAAACAACTCAGGATTTTCAAGTTTCAGGGGTAGCCCTCGGTGTAGGTGAGAGTTTGAATCTTACCCAAAGGTGTCCCTAGGGGGGTGAAGAGAGGTTCAGCACCACCAACTGATCCCAGAAGTCAGAGGTGGTCCATGATGGTATTTTCCCTGACTGTGGTGGTATCTTCCCTCTCTTAAGCCATTTTTATATTATTTTTTACCTTGCAGGTAGAGCTTGAGTGACTCTAGTCATACATTGTTATGATCAGTGTCAATTTTTCTTGCTTCGCTTTTAAAGGTAGAAGGAGTTCAGAGCGTAAGCTCAGTGAGGGGCAATCGCACCCCGAAGGCAGGTAGCTTTTGGGGCAGAGGTGTGTTTTGGCATTATAATGAGATTACAACGAGCGTAGTTCACCCAAAGGATGGCATTTTGTCAGAAAATCACAGACCGTTGGCTCACGGTAGCAAATACGCAGCTTATCAGTCCCACAGGACCTTGACATTCCATCCATGTGCACAGCCTGGCCACGGTATCTTCACTCCGCTCCACCCCCAATGTAGTTTCTTTCAGAGTCAGCACATCAAGCTTTGCTGATGTTACCAATACCTAAGGTTGCCCAGGGAGCTTCTGTGGAAGGGATTTCGTTCATACCAGCTTTATTCCACCCTGGAAGCTTTCTTTATGTTGTACCTCCCTTAATGTGCGAGCAATGCTGTACCTTTAATATAAGTTTAAATTTTGGGGTCACCTCCAAGCAAGGAAGGAGAGGGCAGTGCTCCTTTGCAGAAGGTTGCAGCCTGTCTCCTGCTTCGGGCTGGAGGAAGGAACCACGACCAGGAGAGTGGCTCCATCCCCATGTGAGATGTGTCCTCCTGTTGTTGGCACGACCTGTCTCCTGTTCTGCCAGCTGCCCTGATGCCCTCCCTAAGCTCCCTCCAGTTTTATTTTCCAGTAACAAGCTGGAGGTGGAATTTGGCTTTGCCTCGCACCAAGATAAATGGCTTTTCTCCAGCCTGCCTCCAGTGGATTGGCCACAGGGTTTGCTCCTGTTCTGCCAGCCTTGCAAGCAGGGCTCACTCTGATGCCTGCAGACCCAGCTAGCATTTGGGATCCAGTGTTTTAGCTTCTACCCCCAGAATTCTGGCCAGAAACAAATCCTCACACGCCACCAGCTTTATCTGAGGCTGCAGTGAGCCTGCCCAGTCTGCTCGGCTCCCACGGCCAAAGCCAGGTCAGCACATCCTGGCATCGGCGAAGCCAGGACAACAGGATCATACTGTGGTAGTTGCCAGAACCAGCTGGCAGAGGGAAGCGTCTTCTCACGGAAGAGGCTGCTGCGCTCAAATCCAAAGCGAGATGCTATTTCATTGTTTTTCCCTTGGCCCTTCTTGTGCTATTAGCAGCTCCAGGATTACTGAAGGGGCTTTCATAGAGCCAGGCCTGGTTTGGATAAGTTTTGAGTAATTCAGGAAGAATTGAAAGTTCTGTAGGTGTTTAACTTGGCACCTGGGACAACTCGGAAAACCTGCTTCCTCCATTACATGCCGCTTATGCTACAGGTGGTTGCGATACCTGCTGGTGGTGCTGTCTGCCCTGCTGAAATTCCCAACACACCACAATTTTCTCAGTAGGTGTGCTCAGGTGATGTTTAGCTAGGCCCACCCATTGATAATGTGTGAGGTGAGCACGTAAAATCTCTGTGTTTGTCGCTTGCACTCTGTAGTGCATGTGGGATTTCCACCAGCTGATGTGTCAAGGGCATGGGCACTGCTGTGTGCAGAGAAGCACCGTGTTTGACGGGCTGTTGCACCTCCAGGCTGAAATTTCTTACCGTTTCCTCTCGTTTTCCTGACGCAGGAGATGGATGATGCACCCACTCTGAAAGAGAGCCACCTGGACCACGTGGAGTCTCTGTTTGCCTCTGCTTGCAAGCGAGAGGAGACGGACTGTGCCTTCCAGCTCTGTGGGCTACAGAAAATCCAGGTAGAGAGCTGCTGGGTGCAAATATCCATGATTTTTTTTTATTTTTTTCACCCCTTCTAACACCCAGACAGTGGATCCTGCCAGCTGCTTATTTGCTCTGCTCCACGCAGGCTCACACTGAACGCTGCTTTCGAGCTGCTGCCTGGATCTGCCCACTGCGAGCTCTGTTTGCCGAGTGCGTGATGTACCTCAGCATACAGCAGCTCTTTCAGTCCTCGATTGTTCCTGGAGCTCTTTTCCAAAGCATTCAGCATTGCTTTTAAGTGCAGATGTGGGAATTGGACCTTACGTTGCCTCCCAAAATTGTCTCCTTGCTCCCTTAAACGCCTCCTTGCTTTGTACAGCCAGGCTTCTCAGGCACAGCTCCATGCTAGGGCTTCACTTCACGTTCAGGGATCTGGCTGGTTATTTTCTGATTTCTTCACCATCTTTTACAAAAATCTAAACGAGCACTAGGCGATGAAGAGGTCCCCGTGGAGCACTGCTGTTTAAAGCTGTTGGCTTTTACGCCAAGTGGTATTTAAGTGCTTACCCGCCCGCGTGTGCGGCAGTTGGGTGTCGTGCCGTTCCTTGCGTGGGTGTATCCCAGGGGTGACGCTCTTGGTTGATGGCGCCCCGATGGGGCTGATGAGACCTCCAGCGATGTGGCTTGACTTCAGGAGGAGTCCTGAAATCCGGAAACCGCAGCTGAGGCCCACAAAGAGTCGCCAGCATATGTTAACAGGCTCGTTTTCACTGCCAGTAGCGTTGCTCTGTCACGCCACAGCATGGGGCTGTGAGCCTGCAGAACAGCCAGCCGGTGGCGTCATTTTTGTTGCTGTCAACGGCAGAAAAAGCTCTGCTACTAGTCATCGCCTCCGGTTTACTTTGCCTCCTTTGCCTCTCCCCTTACAGACGGACGTGGTCCTGCGGTTGGATCTGCATTACACCCAGCTGAGCACAAAGCAGAGGACTTGCGAAAGCCTACAGACCACCCTCCAGAAATCTCTGCTCGGGCAGTTTTTCAGCCAGAGGAACTCCTGCCAGCCAAACTACCAGAGAACTCCTGCCTGCGCAGGCAGCATGCGCCTCCAGGATGCGTCAGCACCAAGCGCAAAGGAGCAAATGTCTCTGAGGACGACGGGATCTGGCCACAGCTTGCCCAGCAGCAACCCCTCCAACTCCAGCAGCGAACCGGAGGAGAACGACGAGAGTGACCTGACCGAGCTCTGCTCGGCGCTGCTCCAGGCTGGCCTGGGGCGGGACTACCCCTGACCCCCACAGGCTGCTGTGCCCAGTCTAGGGAACCATGATTTTGAAGAGAGACAATGGTTATTTGAGTGCTGAATGCATCAGAATCCATTGGTTGTATTCCAGCCTCGGCGATCGCCCTGTCCAAATGAGGCCAAGGCTGCTTTTTGGGAAAGGCTTCTCCCATCCACACCCTGTGATGCACAGGGTGTGAAGCCCTGCTGGCGGTAGCCCCTCTCCCGTGAGAGCGGCAGGCATCAGCACAGAGGCGTCATCCTTGTGTCTGGTAGAGGATGAGACCAGGCAAAACTCAACGTTGCCTGGAGTCGAGGGCACTGGCTGACATTTCCTGTGGATCGGGCTTTGCCTGAAAGCAAATGCCATGGTGTTAAATGCGACGAGAAACTCATAAACACTACGAACACGTGTGACAGCGGCCTCAGAACCCAGCTATGGCCACCGATTCCCATCACAAGGCTCGGCCAAGGGAACCAGACGAAGCTCTGTGAACACATAAGCTCTCCTGGAGTCGTGCTGTGGTTTTCATGCCTTGCAAGTCCCGCCTGTGTCAAAGCGGGTTTTAAATTATGTGCTTTTCTTCTGGTGTTTCTAAGGAATGTATTTATACTTGGGGCAAGACAATCACTTGCTAGGAAAAAGAAGGTCAGGTGTTCTGTCGAGTGTGTGTTTACAAAGGTGGAGGCTGGTTTTCCATCAGTAGTAGCCACTGGTGGGGTCCACCTCCACATGCCCCGTCTAGCATGGTACATGGGGGCATTAAAGAGTGTTAGATCCCGAATTCTTCTCAGATGCAGGATTTCCTATGTGTGAAAGATGGAAAAGACCAGGAGGGAGGAGGAAGAACCTCAAAAAAGTTAGTATTAATGCCAGTTTTTTATTTTTCTAAATACTCGTCTTGTGCATTCATGGTGGGCAACCTCAAGCACTACCTTTTGTGGAGAACCAGCTGTCCAGAGAGAGCCACAGGTGAGCAGGGCCCAAAAGACAACCCAAGTGGGCACAGTCTCCTCCCTTCCTGTTTCTCTAATACTTACTTGATAAAGGTGTCCGTGTATCTCCATGTGATTGCTGAGCCAGGGCCTGGGAGCGCAATCAAATAGTTCAAACTATGACCCCAGTGTGGGATCTCTGTGCTTGGAGGACAGTTTGCTTTGGACTGGAAAAGGTGCTGATGAACCTATCCAAGCTGGTGGCGTGCTGGACCAGAGACCGCTGGAGGTCCCTTCTGGCTCTTGTGGCCTCGTGAAAGAACCTGGAGATCCAAGACTTGCTGAGAGGTCAAGGATGATGGGCTGGGGAGAATGACCAACTTCTGTCTTCTGTCTTAGAGGTCTAAAAGAGGTTTCAGTTCTCCTTCAGCTGTAAAGGTACTTGCATCTCCCTCTACAGTTTCTGCTGCAGCGTGGAAAAAGATGAAATGTTCCTTCCAGATAAACCATCCTACGAGTGCTGGAAACCCATCCAAAGAGAACAGAGGAGGCTTTTATTCTCCTCAAAGTGAGGAGAGCCAAGGGAAAGAAGAGAGGCCCCATCTGGCTGAAGCCTAGAAAGTCTCCTAGGAAAAAAACATAAAGCTCGAAAAAAAATTTAAAATTTACAGGATGTATTTTAAATAAGACAGACTGATCGAGAAGCTAGTCCTGATGATGTCATCTCATGTGAATATTAGTCTCATTCATGTTCTGAGGCTGGGTTTTTTTTCGGAATAAAACACTATTGTGCTTTGGAATGCGTAAAGCTTCACATGGCTCTGGGTTAAGTGTCTGTAATTTTCTCTCTAATTGCCAAGGTGCAACCTAATACTGACCTTAACATTGACTCCCCCGTAGTTGAGTGCCAGCAAATTTCCCCTCGAATCTTTGTTTCCATCTCCCAGCATCAAGGACAGACACCTTATCCAAGATGAAGGTGAGTGACACCTGAATGTTTAATAATTTCATTAATTTTATTTTTAGGTAGATGCCCTTTTTTTTTTTCACCTCTCTGCTCATGCAGGTGCGTTGAAGGGAAGGACAGACCTTGGTCAACAGCCTTATATGCTCTTCTTCTGCTAGAGTGATCACCTGAAGTGCGGTTCTGAGCTCATTTGGCAGTTCCTGACAAAACAAGGCATGTATGCCCAAAACAAGTGAGAAAAGACAGTGAAAATTGGGAAAATGCCATTTCTGTCTTTTATTTATTACTGGCCCAGCACGCAGTCAAGATATGTGCGCTGCCATATCTACCCAAGCCTGGCACCCTCCTGTTGGCGGCAGATTCCTAAAGATTTGTTGTAATTTTTTTTGGTGACCAAAGCAAGGAGAGGGCAAATCTGTCTTGGATGAGCCACTTAACCAAAGAAGGCAATAAGTGTAAGGAAGGTCCTTCTACACCTGAAGAACTGGTCATGTAAGTAAACCAGCAAGTTAGGGATGAGAAGACAGCAGAAGTGGTGGGTTCACATTTCAGCTGGTCCAGAGAAGGGCAACAAAGCTGGTGAAGGGTCTGGAGAACAAGTGTTATGAGGAGCAGCTGAGGGACTTGGGGTTGTTTAGCCTGGAGAAAAGGAGGCTGAGGGAAGACGGTCTCTTCCAACCGATGGGACGAGAGGAAAGGGCCCTAAGGTTGGACATTAGGAGAAACTTCTACACTGAAAGGGTCATCAGAGACTGAAATGGGCTGCCCAGGGAAGCGGTTGAATTGCCATTCTTGGATGTATTTTAAAAGCCGAGATGTGGTGCTCAGGGACACGGGTTCGAAGTGGGCCTGGTGGAGGTAGATAATGGTTGGACTTGATGACTTTAAAGGTCTTTTCCAACCAAAATGATTCTATGGCTCAGGCCAGGTAGGGACACAGGCCCTGGAGGCAGATGTCCCCAGTGTGTGTCCTCATGCCAAGAGGATCTTCCTGGCACCTTTGGGTGCATCTGCATGTCACTGTGGCTGTTCCAGACACCTGGTAGGTTACAGAGAAACAAGTGGCACCTGTGCCACCTCCTTCACGGAGCAGCGGCTTGGAATTTGCTCGTTAGAAACTGCTAAGTCCTCTTTATTTCCCACTTGATATAGAGATTTTCCCACATAACTACTACAGAACCTGGCAGATCATTCCCTACATTCGGCATTACAGGGCAGAGCTAGCGGTGCTGTCTACTAGACACGCTTGCTCAACGCCTCCCACTACAAACGCTGTTTGCTGTTGCTTGTAGCTGTCAAACTGAGGAGCTGAAATTTTCTATGCCAACCTCATGCCATTTCATGGCCTTTCTGTGCCTAGGAAACGTTGCAACCTTGCGAATTTTCTTTCTTTTCTCTTGGGGACATTAGGGTCTGAAGAGCCTCCCAAAGGAGGAAGCTTCCCAAAGGGCAGGTTAGCATGTTCTTCAGCAGTTACGTTACCTTTCTTGTGGATGAGGGTTGAATAGGATGATGTCTTGAACTAATCTCATAAGAGGAATTGTTTGTGGGTTGTTTTTTTTTCTACTTTCTAATTTTCTACTTACTACAAGCATAACAGGACCATACACAAGGCAGGAATTGAAGATACCAGCTTCAAGACCAGTAGGGAGGTCTTGAATGGTTAAATGCAGGTGGTGGTATCCGTCATGCTTTGCACATGGAGACACCCACGGCTGTGCTCTCTCTCCTAACGCTGGCAATCGCCCTGCTTCAAACAGGAGGTTGGACCAGGTCCCTCCCAACCAACGCTTCTCTGTTCTGCTACCAGAATATATGCCCACAAGAGAATACATGTTCTGAGTGATTCTGAACATCAAGCAGAGTGGGAGACGCAAGGCGCTGTTTCAGTGAAATGTCCCTGCTCGCTGTCAAAAAAAAAAAAAAAGCAAACGAGGATGTTGGTCGAGCTCAGCAGGTTCCAAAAGTTTTAAAAACAACAATTTGGGCCAGGTCCAAAAATTAGGGAAAGGTGGTAAACCAGTTCATTTGAAAACGTAAGGTGGTACAGACTGAGTTCTTCCAGGCCTCAGCTAATTGTTCCATAATGAAACCAGGAGGGTGGTTTTAAATAAAAGGGGTGAGTGAAGCCATCCACTGGGAAGACGATAAACCCCAGCTTACTCAAATTAAAAAGAAGATAAATGTGGATGAGCTGAGATTTCTTTGGAAAGCAGAAGGAGAAGCAGATTTGGTGTCGTGGTGAAGCCTGCAGGCTAGGACTCCATTAATGGGGAGAAATGATGGATAGCACGGCCCCTTCAGACAGTCCCAGAGTTCCTGCTGTCAAAGATTATTTCAGTGACTGTTTTGCCATTGTTGCTAATCGCTTGAAATTGGGTCCATGACATCATGTGGCAGCTAAGAGAAAAGCGTATCGCTAAACAAATGAGAATCCTTGAAGTTGCTTCTTATCTTCGCAGTTTGGATAACCTTTTGCATAATGATCAACAATTTCAAATGTGTTGGTCACATCAGCTCCTCAAAGAGATGAAAGACGCTCTTTGAAATTGCAGACCAGACTTCACACACGCGAGAAGAGCTGACGCAGTGTCACACAGTAACGAAGAGCTAATATCTCTTTTGATAAAGCTGTCTTCACTGAGTCAGATTTTCTTGCCGTGGTGTCAGGAATAGTTGATGAGACAGACGTGCTATTAAGTGGTAAAAATAAACAGATGGAAGAGACAAGTGAGAGATTTCAGCTATGACTTTCCAGAATGTTTCAGCAAAGAATAAATCTCCTTTATTTCCATTCCGTACCAGAGATGAAAAATACAAGATACATACCCGATTGTTGCATGGTCACAGTTCCCACGCACCGTGAGTCCCTGGAGCCAATAGCTTGTCCCCACCTGACCACAGGGCCCATGAGTCAGGGCACTTGGTGGACCTGGAGAAGGTGAGGGGCCTAGAGAACATGTCTTATGAGGAGGAGCTGAGGGAACTGGGATTGTTTAGTCTGAAGGAGGCTCTGGGGAGACCTCATAGCTCTCTACAACTACCTGAAAGAATGTTGTAGTGAGGGGGGAGTTGGTCTCTCCCCTCAAGTTACTAGCAATAGGATA